GCCCTACACATCATGCGTACAGTTCTGCAATGTTCGGCCACTATGGGTAGACATTCACGTGTCCCTCGGTGAGGTAAATACGCATAGAGTGGAAGACGTCTAAGTCTGTCGAACGTCTGCAGAATGATCTGTCTGCATTGAATTCCTGCAAGAATCTTGTTGACTGGGTGTTGCAAACAGATGGGTCTGAGGGCTTGGGGTTTGCTTGGGGATTTATTCGGTTTAGTCAGGAGATGGATCCATCCTGTTGTCCAATGATCCGGAAGGTTTACGGGGTATTGAAGCCAAACCTGCTTAATCTGATGCATTAAAGGATCAACAAGATCATGCGCAAAATGCTTCCAGATCAGTGCTGGCAATCCATTCGGTGCCAGGGCTTTAGTGCTTGGCAGGTGCAAAAGCTTAGTGAGCACATCCTGGCGGTCGAAGGGGAGTCGGGTGAGAGGTTCGAGATCCCGGGCTTCAAACTTCGGATCAGCAAACAGTTGGGTATAGTAGTGTTCAATGGATTCCAATTCCTGTCTCGGTGCAAGAGGCATGCCATGGGTATCAAAGATCTGAATTCGTTTCGGTCTTTGTTTCGGCCACAGGAGCCTGATCTTCCGGTACCAGTCAAAGATGCGTCCATGAAGGGCAAGATCAGCACCCTCAGTGAGAATTTGTTGTAATTTGTCTCTCTTGTTTTGCCTGTTCTGTTTACGTATGGCTTTATGGATGGTTCGAAAGATGGTGATATGAGCCCAACACTCAAAGAGATCGCGAATGCTGCGACCACGAACGGCCAGAGCCTGCTTGCGGGCAGTCCACATCCTGGCGGCCATCGAGGAAATCTGGGGTGCTTGAGGGACCCGGGATTTTCTTTTGGGAAAGAAACTAGAACAAATCGTTCGAAGTTCTTGTTCCAAAGCGTGCATGGATACCTGATGCGATGGATGAGGTGTAGAGTGTCGAGCGATGCTCTGACGAATCTGGACCTCAAACTGCTGCCAGTGTGCAGTGTTTTCGAGTCTAGCCGTACGGATAGCAAATCTGTCAATGGTGTTGAGTGGGAGCACTGGTTTCCGAGGCGCAAACCACCTGGGCAGGATAAAGAACAGTGGATGATGATGAGGGCCATGACATCCAAAATTGCGCATAAAGTTCCTATCCATGGTGGGCTGCATGCGACGAAATAGGACCTGATGTTGACGAACAAAAACATAATCAATGCGAGAATGATGGGATCCATGTTCAAAGGTCGATGCATACTGTTGTTTACAATGCAATGCAATCAGGTCCTGTGCTTTCACCAACTGCTGAAGAAGATCTCGATCGGTGTGAGTGGTCAAGGACGCACGGGCATCATGGCTATTGATGTGTGGCGGGTCGAACTGGAGGGTGGTATTAAAATCACCCATAAGGACCATTTGATTCTGCTGCGGAATATGATTCAAAATCTGTTGCAGGCTGGTCCAAATCTTGGCACGATGTTCAAGAAGCTGTTCCTTGCCTTTGGTTACATTCCAGGCATGCTGATATACTACGATGAAGTCGTATGTGCTGTACAAAAATAGGCGGATCTGAAGAAGTCGACCATCAAAATGAGAGGCCGAGGCAATCTGTTCAGGTCTGGCCAGGGTACCCCTAATGAGCACAAGTATGGCAGCGTGCTTCGTCGAGGAGTGGATGCAGTGCCATCCCTGGAACGTCCAGGTGGAGTTAAAATTCCATCCAGTTTCCTGCAAGGCTATGATGTCCAGGGGCTGGGATGTACACCAGTGCAGAAGCTCGTCATGGACCAAGTTCTTCGATGCATTCCAGGTCATGCATCTTATGCCAGGTGTGGTCAGTGGGGTCCGTGACTTCAGCTTGTCTTGTGTGTGCCGTCTATAGGCTTCTCGAATGCGCCAGGGTCCATCGGTGTCGAAAAGAAAGCCTTTTCGATAAGGCGTGTAGCCATGTTACAGTGCTCGGAAACAGGCTCTCTTGAAGGTCCTTTTAATCTAAACGATGCGCGGCCGGGAGACGACAAGGCCGTAGCCTCCTTTGGCCCATACCTCAGAAGGCTTCGTGGAGAAGTTCTAGTTGCGAGTGAAGGATCCACCTCCACTTTCATCCGGGATTAAGGAGTCCCGGATAACCCTCACGCCACCCATGGTTCCGCTCGGTATAAAAGGCGGTGCATTAGCATCCATAGGCCCTGGACTTGGGACCAGGGAAATCAGCCTCTGTCCTAACAGAAAGATATGCAGCCAAATGAAAACAATCATCAATAGTGTGACGGCCGAGGGATCCAGTGCACTAAGCAAAGAAAATGGCGAGAAAATCTACAAAGAAATGGCTACCGTAACTTAAGGCTAAAATGGCGCTTATATAAATTTATACATAATATAATATTTCAAATTAATCATTTTAAATCATAATAAAATAATAAATATTTAAATATATTAATCAATAATATCCATTAAATAATATAATAAATTTAATTATTTATATATATTAATATTGCAAAATATCTACAAACCATTATTTCATTATTAAATAAATATTCAATATTTAAAATACATATATATATATATTAAATTCAATATTTAATATATATAAAGAACGACCAAAATTCCTTATTAATTTTCAATCAAAAAATAAACATCATCGATTTTCATTTAGACCTTATTATTTTATATATATAATTATATACAACGCTAAAATTATCGATTTTTAAATAAACCTAATTAAAATAAAAATTTTATACACAAATCTAACAATCTTTATTAAAATATTCTTCATATATCTTAAGCATAATTCATATATATATAATTATATAATAATAATAATATATTTTTTATAAAATAGTATTAAATATATCTTAAATTATAAATTTCCAAAATTAATTTATGGTTAATATTTTTTTTTTTCATTAATAATTACGAATAAAGAATATTTTTTAATTTATCAATCCAAAATATTTATTATCGTGCCAATTGGAAAATATTTCATTTGGAATAATAATAATGAAATGCCTAAAACGATAAAAAAACCATCCAAAAGACAATATATTCAATTGGAAAAAGATGAGAATCGCTCCCGAACCGTGGGAAGGAAAAACCAAGAAAGGCAGGATCGAACTACCGAAGAAAACAAAAACATACTAAGACTTCAATACCAGCCCGTCGCGCTAAACTACAATCTCTTTAATGAGACTGGCTTGGGCCACCTGTCGGAGGAACTTGCCTCTGTGCTTGAGCTGACAGGCCTGGGCCAAGGGCTACGGTTTCTTTTCCTTATCTTGCTGTCCTCTTTGCTGTCTCCTCTTCTCTCTTTGCTTTTCCCTCCTCCCCCCTCTCTCACCATCAAAGTGCTCTCTCTTCACTCCTCTCCTCTGTGTCTCTCTCCTGCTCTTCAAGTGGTGATTGGTTGGCTGTCATCAAGTGTGGTGACTTGTGTTCTTCAAGTGTGGTGATTGGGTGCTGTTCCTTCAAGTTGGCATTGTGGAAATGAGCAAGCAAGCAAAGAGAGGAGAGAGAAAGGCAATGTTCAACAAGTGTGGCAAGGTTGGATGCGAGGGAGAAGAGAGGAAGAGAGAGAGAGAGAGAGAAGAAAGAGCAAAGAGTGGAGAGTGGAGAGGAGAAGATCCTTTTGTTTCATCTCGCTTCTGTTCTGAAAGATTCAATCTTCAGTCAGTTGAATTCAAGTTTGATTGTGCGCTTCCAGTTTTGTGAGTCAATTTTGGTGTTGGCCCTTGCTCTTGCCAGCACGATGAGTATTATTGCTTCTTCGGCTCAATCCTAAAAAATGGCAGTCAATTTTTCGTCATATAATGTCAAACGTGGAGATAGCGTCAGCTAAACGCCACTTGCGTGCAAGTCCCCAAAGTCCTTTATTTAACTCAGTGCTAAGGCCAGAATTGCGGACTTAGCCGACTCAGCACTATTGGTTAAAGGAGAAAGACGGTGGGGAGGTAGAGTTTGTAGACTAGTTTGAATGCGGCTTCTCGAGCCACTGGAACAGGCTCCGTTTTCTTTATGGAGAGCAGCTCTCCGATTTGGAGAGACACGGCAGCAAACAAACCGAAAGCGTGCAGGTCGTGAGATGCTTCGACATATCGTCGGATGAAATTCTATCATACTGAGTGGTGAACATGAAAACATGCACCTCTGATGGACGCAGAGGTTTGAGTGAGGCGTTTGTAAGCACCGTCAATCGTAAATGAACCACCCTGTCGCTCGGAACCCTCCCAATCGCGCACGGTGTCGCCACGTAGCTTTTGTCAATGCCTGCTGGAGGTCATCGAACACTATGCTTGGTTCATTAACGCCCACCATACTCAGACCATGGGATCCTGCCCGAAACAGTGAGTCGAGTCGAGTCGAACATGGCGACCGGAACCGGTGTGTCCGGTGGCACGCCCGGACCGTCCCGCTGCGCCGCCGGAAAGGTCGGTCCGGAGTCGGCCGCTGGAGGATTGGCCGCGCGGTTGAGGCGCCACCTCCCTGGAGGGCAAAAACTCTCCAAAGCCTTGAGGGGACGGTGTCACGGTGTGTCGAATGGCTTGGGAGGGCCGAAGAGATTCCACTGAGTTTAGGAGGAAGAATGAGAAAGATTCGTTTGACGCCTCTGGTCTTAAGGAAAGCAAATGGTGCCTCAAATGACACCTATACTGGCTGTGATAGATGACTTTGAAGGAAGGAAAAAAAAACATATTGTGCAGCAAAGTGGCTGTCGAAGATGTATTCCACCTGCGCCAATCACATGATCAAACAGTGGGGGTTCATGATGATATGGCTGAACATCCAAGGAGGGATAGGAATCTTTAGAAAGCTCGATCCGACTATGAGAGCGTTTGGCGACATGAGAGCAGGTCCAAACTCTGGTCAACTGAGTCAACTGTGCCGCCTCTCCACATCTCTCCACATCTCTTCGTTCGCGAACGAGGTTTTTCACGGCCCTTCATACCATGTTGACCCATCAACTGTGGCTTGTAACTGATGTCTCAAACATATCGGGACAGCCCTCATAACATCTCAAGAGAGGGAACAAATGACCAGTTGAAGGAAAAGCAAAAGGATGCAAAAGGAACATCCAATCAAACTTCCAGCCGGCTTGGAACAGTCGCCCCTCCAGCGGCGCAGGGTGGCCTTCTGAGCTAGGCCGCCTTTCTGTAGCCAGGGCCATATCTCGTGGCCAGACCAAACCTGTTCCCGGTAGTTGCCTCGGTTTCGCAAAAAGAAACCGTCTGCACTGCCGTGACAAGACCAGGACACCCTGCTGAAAGGCAAACCATGGAGGTTTGCCCCTCTTGCCCTGGCAGCTTTGGCCCTCCGACAGATCCAACAATCCATGGTGCGGTCAAGACCATCCATTACCTAAACAGCTTGGACGTGCTTAGATTAGACTCAAACCAATGCTATCCAATGGCTTATATATCATTAGGTTACTGATTGGTTCCTTTCACAGCCATGAAGCCCCCCAATTCCGTCGCTGACTCCTTCCGACCCAGCGGCTGTTGTCCACGAAGGGACACGCGTAGGTCTTGGCCAAGTTCACCACGAAGATGCGGTCGGAACCGCGGCCTTGCACCGACCCGGTCTCCAAACGGAACGAACACACGGGCTGCAATGCTGGATGCACATGGGCTGCAAAGCAAAGTCAAAGCAATTGGTAGAATTTTCAGACCTGAAGTCTTCAACATCTGTCTTCAATGGCTTTTCTGGGTTTTCTGTGGTTTTCTCCAGATAACCTCAGCGTCAAAAAGAGGATGTGCCGTCATTATATGTACCTGAACAATCACCACCAAATACCACCAAAACTATCAGCACCAAACCACAGCGGCACTCTTTTCGGTGCCTTCTTGGCGTCCATCATCATCCATGACCGGACATTGCACTAATTTCGGCCTGCCAGGAGGGTTTTGGCGATGGATGGACGGCCCTGTTTAACAGGCGGCAGGGTTTGGCGTGGTTTGGGGGTCAAACTGTGGGAACATGAAGGAACAACATCAGACCCGGCAAAAACCAGATCTCCCTTTAAAAACAAAGGACGTCCTTCTCTGTGAAGTCCGTGGCGAACAAATCCGTCTCCCAGACCCGATGTGGAAGAGGAGTCCTTTCGCGGCCAAAGAAGCCGTCGGCCTGAGCTCCGCAGGCGGAGGATGCCGATGCATCGTCGCCTGGTGGCAGACGGGCTGCGGCCAAAAGCCCAACTCCTCGTAGAAGCGGATCGCACACCTGCGAGGTGCTCACGCGCCGTTCCGCGCAGCACATTCAGCGCGGAACGGTGTGCGTTCGCATTGCGAGGAACGGTGTGTTCGCGCGGGTGGATGACGTGAGGTTTGGAGGACACAAGACATGTGATTCGGATTGGGATAGGTGCAGACAGGAATCTTTTGAATCTAGTGAGACATAGGAACTTGGTCTGACATCAAACCTCTGTCATACCCCATAATTGGGAAACCAAAGCCTGCCCAAATTGAGTGGATTGAAGTCGAAGCCCAAAACAGTTGAGCACATCGCCATGCCGTTGAAGCAAAAGGTTGATTCTCTATCTATCTGTACCCATGTTCATGAACGATGGGGCGATCGCAATTGCCTGAACCATCAGAGGGCTCCCTTTCCATCCCTTTCCATCGTATTCACTTTCAAAGCAGCCAGGCAAAGGGCGGTTTATCTGTGTCGTTGGCCCGTCAAGGTGGACCCGTTTTTCAGGCGACCTCTGAAAGCCCAACCCATTTAAGCCTCTTAGCCATACCAGTTTCGGGATGGCCAAACACCAAACCTCAACCATGGGAAGAAGTGATTGGCGGTGCGCTTTTGATTGGTGGTGTCATTCGATCCTATACCGGTTCAGGGATGTTCAGGGTACTTTTCCACATCTATATATTTTGAGACCTTTCACTGGCACAAAAAGCGGCGCGCCCAAGACGAGCCTGATAGCGTCCCACGGGAATGGCATATGCGGTCTGTCACCCTTTGGGCAAAAAACTGTGCATTTGCTGGCTGTACTGCCAATGTCCTCGCAAAGCACATCCAAGTTCTTGGCACCAAAGGGAGAGGTGTGGCTATGAGTGGCAACGTTGCTTTTGGTCTGATGATTCATCTTGCGATTTGCTTAAGGAACCCGGAAGAAGTAAAATAACATATTCCCCCAAAGGGGATTTACCCATAGGGAAATATGAATCACCCTAAGCAAAACCAGGTCCAGCTCCACCTTACACCATGCCTTATTGAGATGATTCGAGATGTAAAAACCCTTCTAACATGGGTCAGCTCACAGCCCGTCCTCGCAGTTGAGAACCTTGGTCACTCAGCACGTTCGTGGCTGATAAAACGTTCTTCGTTATAGCGAGAGAAGGGTACTCCGCTCATGAAATCATAGGGTCATCCTACGTATTATTGTAACCAACCATTTCTATTCTAAGTGACACAACACAAATTCCTCCAAACGAAACAACCCTAACACACACATGCATTATTCATATACACCCTCTTGATCCATGCGTCGGCTAAGATAGGATCACCCCATAAAGCCACGGATGATGATATCATCTCATGGAATCTCATGGGTTTTCAGTGCACGGCAAGGCGCAATCATGGCACCCTCCTGTCGAAGTGCACCCAGTTGAGGGACACTGGACGACTGAGGTTCTGGTTCTAGGACAACACCAGGCCCTGGCGGGAGAGAGGTGCGCCGCAACGCCACACGCACGCAGTCACCACGCAGTCGCGACGGCGCGCGGCGGAACGCCAGGCGGGTAAGGCGACAGCGTCAGTCACAGTGAAGCCACAAGAATCAACACCAGGGGTTAACTGATTCTACAGGCCTCCGCACGGACCTGCCGAAGCTGTTCATTTCTTCAGTCCTGTCCTCACCCCCTAACCTTACTAGTAGCCCCCAACACCGAGCGCCTGAGTCAGCCTTTGGATCCACCAGTTTCTCGATCGCCGGTGCCACTGCCGAGACTTTTCGCCGCGACTTGGGGTCGGCCGGCGGTGCCACCAGCGGTGCCACCGGCGGGGGCTTTGTGCTACTCGGCGGCGGTGGAGGCTTCGACTGCCTTGGAGGCTTCGATGATCGCGGAATCCGATCAACCAATTGAGCCAGCATAGAACAATATGTGCCATACCAGCAATCATCAAATAAACAAAACAAATATGAAACAAAAACAACCGGAGATGTGGAGAAAAACAAAAAAACATGAGGTGTGATCTGAACCACCTTGAATCTTGCACCATCCTCACATGTCCACCAACCCAAACATCAACCCCACCCTCCGTCTCTCTCGCAATGACCCAGTTGCGCGGAGCCAGGCAAAACGCAAACCCGAACACGTCCAGGCTTGGCCCGTTCGACCTCGCGCCAGAATTCCTGGCGACCAAAGGCCGAGCAGAATTGTTGGATGATGTTGAGTGGTTCAGGATTTACGAGTGAACAAACTAAACACATCTCTCAACGCAGAGGAGAGGGACTTCGATGGACTTTACTATTGGGCCAGTGGTCTGCTACAGCCGCTGATACAGAACGAAGTACTGAACAATCCTGCACTGCAGTACTACTTCATGAGATACATGCCATCAGCCTCGAAACATGGCTTTCTGTGTGCTCTTGGATGGTTCTGCTTCGACTGGAGACGTTCTCCAACCCACAAAACCGCCACATGAGTGTGCTTTGAAAAGCACACCTGTCTTTAGCATGTTTGTTCGATCCAGAGTACTGCTGGTGAAGCAAACATGCGACTCTGATTGATACAGCGTTTGAACAGCCATCTCGGAGATGGGTGGAAACATGAGCCAAAAGGCATATCCAGTATCCTTTGTGCCCAACATGGTCCACTTTATTCCAAGTTGACAGGTCTGGCTTTCTCTCCAAACACCCCAAGTTGGCTGGGGGCGCTTCACCACACTCACTGATCCGTCAGCCTGGTGAGATCTCACTGGGATGCCATTCACCCTCGTCACAACATCCTCGGCGGCGTGGAATCGACGGGGGGCATTGGGGGAACTCCCGGAGGCGCGATGAGCGGCTCCCAGCTCAATCCCTCTCGGCGGCGATGTGTCTTCCCGAAGTCAATGTGGGCGACGTTTTCGGGGCGTTTTTGGGGACTTTGGAAGGAAAGCGTTGGCCTTTGGGGCTTTTCACCACTCTGTGGACCCACATGTTTCGACAGCAAGTTGAGGATTTTCTCGCAAGAGTGGATGGGCAAAACCCCGTATCTTTGTGATGGTCTCTTCTGGCCTCAGGAGCCACTTGCTCAATGATGTCCCATCATCGCTAACTCACCACCAAGGCAAACCAGGTCTTGACAACCCCCCATGCTAATTAGACTGACTTGGTGAGTACGGTGGTGAAGGTGGCACCCATCATTTGGATCCATTTGGCAGGAAAATGCAGGATATGCATCTGAGCGGCATTTGTCAAGAAAAGAACCCTCCATCCATCTTGTTTGAGTCAGACCATGGCATGCTCCTCTCAGATCCTTACGCCCCATCCTCGAATTGCAAAACATGATGTTCAGGGTTCCATGGAGAGCCTTCATCCGTCTGCCCTGGTCAAATGAAGTGCCCCCCACCGGGCTGGCCCCACTTGTCAGAAGCCTTCTAAACCATCTGCTTGGACAAGGATAAAAGGTCAGAACCCCCGAACAAAAAAACAAAAAAACGCTCGCTCCGGTCTTCAGTTCACCGTTTGACTCACCTGACTCACCCTGTTGTCGGCTCGATTCTCCCGGCTTCTCCACGACTCCAAGATTCTCCCGGTATGAGCAAATCACGGGAACGTCCCGAAGGAAGGGTGGACTCGACCTGCAGATCCTGAAAACGAGGGTCTGGACATAGTCGATATGAATGGGATCCACTAGTGACCGATTCCACCGATTCCCAAACAAACATACCTATCTAAACATTGCTTTTCGAAGGAGATGAGGGACTTCCATTGTTGGTGACTTATACATTAGATGAGGGACTTCCATTTTTGACCATGCATGACATTACCCTGCAAACCGTTGGAACCCGCAGAAAGCTGCAGATTTAATCATCTTGCCCACCACCGAATGCTCCTGCAAGGAGACGCCCAGGGAATCCACCTGTCCGGTGCCCGGGTAGAACCACCGACGGACGAAGCACCGAACCGCTTTCAGAACCTACGTTGGGCTGGGACACTGGCTCGCAGTGTTTGTTGGGCCGGGAGGGGAAGACAACCAGATATTGGGAAACTGGGAAAAGAGTGTGGTGACAAAAATATAAACAACTGCCGTGCCTTTCGCAATTCCATGGGTTGACTATGACGATGCTGTCTTCACATGTTGGTATGCTTCCCTGGCTCTGAAATGAAACAGCATGGAATTCTTTCAAACATAATCATGTTGGAAATACAAGAGCCGGAGGCACCGCACCGCCCCTTCTCAAAAATGCTGAAGTCCCACCTCCTGTAGGAAGCCCAAGTCAATATCAATCTCTCTTGCATCATCTGCACCTGCTGAGCTGGTGGACCACACGTCAGATTGACGAAGCAGCTGGTGGTTCGGTGCTTGCCCCGATGTTTTCTCTCTAAACGTTTGTTCGAACATCAGCGCTTTCCATTCCTTTGTCCTCAGTAGATCCAGAAGGTATAATCATCTCTGATACCTGACTGCACCTGACTGCTGAAATAGACTCAATCCAACCCTGGCCTTTTGGCTCCCCTCTGGCGCGAGGCTTCTGCGCCTCCCAAGTTCTGCAGGACGAGATTCTGGAAGCAACACCGACACAAAGCACCCAATACAAATTCGTAGCAAATTATAAAATATAATAATGATTAATATCACTAAGTTAGGATATGATATACTACTACTTACTAGTTGGTAACCAAGGTCTCCGAATTGGGAATTGGCTCATACTTTGAATTGCATGCTGCAAACATATGCAAACATATATTATATAGCTTGCATATGCTTGCATTGCATTAGCTTGCACCTGTGACATCTATTGAGGCCGCTACACGGGTGTTCCAACATATGTGGGACTAAAGCGAGACCGAGACCGACTTTTATCGCTTCCAGGCAACTCATTTGGATTCGTTTGCCTCCCATCATGGGGTCAAGAATCACCGGTCTGGCAGAAGAGTTCCTCCTGTTCTTCCAACTTCCAACATCTTTCTCAACTGGGTTGATGGATCAGAAGAATCCGGATC